CCATTTTCTATGGACTTAAAAAAAACAGAGGTTTGTACCTATGTTATTTGCTTATTATTTCTTGCCTATATCTTGTAATATGAGAAACTACTTTGGCAGTAACAATACACAATGTACTAACCATTGTTACTCTCCTAAAATCTTGCTTTGAGATTTTGTACCACTGTTTTTATTTTTTTCTTTCTTTAAAATAAAAATAACTGGTGTCAATAAAAAAAAAAGAAAAGAAAATATCAAAGAAACAGTATAGGCATAATATTGTCAAACAAGGGAACTATATATAGCAAAAAGCAGTGACTGAATTTAGGGTTTTATGTTCAGGAAAGAATCCATTGAAAAATATGAAATCTAAAATGGTAGACACCTGATAAACTAGGGCCAAATTAGGTAGTCGGGAAGGAAAGAACTGAAAGTGTAAATAGACGCATGCACAATTATTGACTGAGGTTAGAGCAACACTTCCAGGCTCTGAGAAGACAGAAAGCACGTCGATAGTGAGACTGGGACAACGGAAGTAGTGAACGCATGAGGCCAGATGACACGCGGTGTTTTGCACTCCAAATGTACAACATACATTATTTCCCAGTGGATTTGAAGTAATTAGAACACTGTGTACTGGGAAGTATGTTCGAACCAATTCCTTTTTTTTTTCACCTTGTATTAAATCTTTTATAAGGTGTTTTGAAATTTTGTATCATTTTTATTTTTTTCTCTCTAAAATAAAAATATTTGCAGAGGAGGTTCTAAGAAGAATTAGAAAAGTTGACTTACAGAAATTAGGAGAACAACCTCTGGGAAAATGCAAGATTTCAACAGTTGAGAGGTCAACCAATTCTTTTGGATCAAAATTTTATTGTCCAGTATGTAACTAAGCTGAAAATGAGTAGAAAAAAATAGAAAATCTCCCAATGTTTGAAATGATCAACTATATACATATATACCTGCATTCAATACATGCGTGCATATAGATATGTGTGAATATAAAATTGGTGCTAAATACAATCTGTCTTGCTTTCATAACCTTGCTAGTGCCTCTTTATGTCATGTTCCTTATGGACACAGTCTGTGAATTTTCTGTCACTTTCTTCACTCAGAGCATGAAATTGCAGAAATATCAAATTTGGGTAATCCTGCTTGTATAAAAAGAGTAGGTTAAGGAAATCATTTGTATTTTTGCACCCATAGGCATTTTCCTCTGGCTACTTGAGATCTCTCAGTGTATCAGATCCTCACTTTAAAATGTACTATAAAGGAACAGACATGCACTGTGTTTGAGCTTTGTCTGCTTTGGGGGCAGGAAGCTTATTAGAAGGTAGAATACAGGGTTTTATTTTACTGGCTCTCCCAAGAGAGAGGCGGAGGGGACAAATAGGAGTCAGAGAGACCCAATATTTGGTTTATTCCATTCAATCTTCTAGAGAACTGCAAGGTGTCTTAGATGATTCCCCCTTTCTAGAGAAAGCAACTGCGGTCCGGGGTCGCAGCACTAATGGGGTGGCGACCCCTGCTTGCCTTTCCTCAGCAGCCCCTGGCGGTGGGAATGCTTCTTAGTGCGAGAAGCAGGAATGTGTGTTGGAAAAGCAGGGGAATGCGTTGAACCATACACAGCCTTTTAAGAGATATGCATGACACTGCCCTGGAAAGCCATCAAAACACCAGTCAAGTCTTTACGTGTATTTTTGGAAACAGAAAAGTAGCCAAAATTGTCAGCCATTATTTGACACTAACAATCTTTGAACCTTTAAAGACTAGACTACTAGAAAACGAGTTACTTGCACTTAGAAAATTGCATTTGCTTCCGCCTTCTGTGTAGCAACATGGTATGCCTGTAATTTCAAATTCCAAATTGCGTTGGTGGCACCGGGCTTAAGACATGGAGTGAAGTCTTAGCTGCATTATTTTCCTTTAAAAAAATCATTAACACCTTAACCTTGTTTTCCTTAAATTTAACTCCTAACAGGAAAGCCTGTTATGATTTCAGATGGAGTGACGTAACACTACTGGGAGGAAGCAAAGAACCCCTTATATTTAGAGGGGTGCAGTTTTCTGCTATTCAGAGCTGTTCTACTAAGAGCGGGGGCGGAGGGTCAGTGGGGAGCGTCGCGGCTGCGCGGTCCCCGCGCTCCAAGGCGCACAGAGGGACGCCAGATGCGCGGCTGCTGGTTCAGCGAGAAGGACACCAATCCCTTCCCGCCACTGGCCTCTCTTGTCCTGACCTCTCCAGGGAAAGCGGACCCCTTTCTAAAGCACCCAGGTAAGATAAAGACTGCTGTCCAGCGTGCTGTCACCGAAGGCGCGCGACCTGGGGGGAGTGGGTTTGTCTCGTGGAATTCGGTGGAGTGACGCGAGTGCGCCGAGAGTGTTCCAAACGGGGGAGACTGGCTTGCACGGTGGCCCCCCGAGAGCAAGGACGGGTGTATGCAGCAGCCTGCTGTACTGAACGGGCGGCAGGAGAGGTCAACAGGTAGCCAGAGCGCTCGCGCGGGAAGGCTTGGGGCTGCCGCCTCCTCGCCGGAGCTGCTCGTCCAGGGCCCTAACCTGGCTTTTCTGCTCGCTTTCCAGGCCCGAGAGTCCGCGGCCACCGTGGGCTGAGCCGTCCCCGCCCCTCGGAAAGTCTGAGGCGGGCTCGGAGCGCAGCACCGGGTGCCCGAGGGCGGTCGGGGCGGACGTGGAACGGACTCTGCGCCGGCCGGTCCCGCGCCCTGGCCGCGATGCGCAACGCATCCTCCGCCGAGCCCGGCCCGGCCAACGCGTCCTGCCGGGCGCTGGCGCTCGGCTGCGCCAACGCGTCGAGCCCGGAGCCGCTGCCGCTGCCGCCGTCGCTGGCCGTGGCCGTGCCGGTCGTGTACGCGGTGATCTGCGCCGTGGGGCTGGCGGGCAACTCCGCCGTGCTGTGCGTGCTTCTGCGGACGCCGCGCGCGAAGTCGGTCACCAACGTGTTCATCCTCAACTTGGCGGTGGCAGACGAGCTCTTCACGCTCGTGCTGCCCATCAACATCGCCGACTTCCTGCTGCGGCGCTGGCCCTTCGGCGAGCTGGTGTGCAAGCTCGTCGTGGCCATCGACCAGTACAACACGTTCTGCAGCCTCTACTTCCTGGCCGTCATGAGCGCCGACCGCTACCTCGTGGTGATCGCCGCCGCCCAGTCGCGCCGCGTGGCCGGCCGCACCTACCGCGCCGCGCGCGCCGTGAGCCTGGCCGTGTGGGCGCTCGCCACGCTGGTGGTGCTGCCCTTCGCCGTCTTCGCCCGGCTGGACGAGGAGCACGGCCGGCGCCAGTGCGTGCTGGTCTTCCCGCAGCCCGAGGCCCTCTGGTGGCGCGCCAGCCGCCTCTACACGCTGGTGCTGGGCTTCGCGCTCCCGGTGAGCGCCATCTGCGCGCTGTACGCCACCCTGCTGTGCCGCCTGCGCGCCATCCGGCTGGACAGCCACGCGCAGGTCCTGGGCCGCGCCAAGAAGCGGGTGACCCTGCTGGTGGCGGCCATCCTGGCCGTGTGCCTGCTCTGCTGGACGCCCTACCACCTGAGCACCGTGGTGGCGCTCACCACCGACCTGCCGCAGACGCCGCTGGTCATCGCCATCTCCTACCTCATCACCAGCCTGAGTTACGCCAACAGCTGCCTCAACCCCTTCCTCTACGCCTTCCTGGACGACAGCTTCCGCAGGAACCTGCGCCAGCTGGTGGCCTGCCGCGCCCGCACCGAGGACGCCTGAAGACCCCGCGCTCGCCGCCCTCCGCCCTCCGCCCTCCGCCCTCCGCAGCCCGGCAGCGCCCGGCGCAGGCAGCCTCGCGACCTTGCTGGGGCTGCGCTCTCTCGCCCGCCCCAGACCCATTGGCGGGGCAGCCGCAGCTGCGCCCCTTACCGCTGTCCAGCCCCCGTGTGTCGCTCTGTGCAAGTGGCCCTGCACCGAGAACCGCCCCCAGCGCCCTCTGAAGGAGAATGGCCTCTGGCTTAGGCTCAGCCCACCGCGGCCCTCCAGGCGCGCTGCCGCTGACTGCCGCAGGCCCGCGGCGCCGGCTGCGTGCCGCTTCTGCGCTCTGCTGCTTTGCTTTTGGCGCAGACTGTGCTTGGGGCACACCCGGCCTCGTCCGCGAGTGCGTTCTCCTGCCTGCGCGCTAACTGCGGGAAGGGGGCAAGCGCACACACCCCCCTCACCTCTCCCAGGCTCCCTTTCACACCAGGTCACTCCCCAAAGCGCTCTGTCACCTCTTTCTTCGGGGTCCTCACTGGTCCAGGTCAGAGGGAGCCAGGAAGAGTTTGAGGGACAGCCAGGTTCTTCAGAACAACTTCAGCGCACTGCGGAGTGTGTCGGGTGCGTGGTGTGGCTCTATTTAGAGCCCCGCTCCCTGTCCCAGCCTTTTCATCTTTGCCCTTTGCCCTTCCAAGCCTGATCTTTGCTGCGAAACTGCCCGGAGGAGTCGGGGCCTTGGCGCGAGACCTCGCCGCCCGCCTTCGGAGGGGAGGGCTCGGAGAAGAGTCCCAGGCTGTGCCTCCGCTAAGGCTCTGTGCTTCCTCGTCATCGCTGCTTCCTGGAGAGGAAGCCAGGTCCCGCCTTCCCTCCCCGCGGCCCGCGACACCCTTCTAGGACGTGGACACTGCCTTGTAGCACGTGTTTTTGCGAGTACCGTTTTTGAGGACTGGAAACTGCATAAGTAACACGTTTGTCCTAATGGCATAAAGAACTTTGAAGATGTAAAGAAATAAGAATTGTGATCCACTCTCCATTATGTTCTCCTCCCTGCTGTACTCGTTGGACACTGCCTTAGGGAGAACCGGGCAGCTGAGATGACCGAGGACTCCGGGTTTTGCCCCGCTGGCACCTTTCTCCCTTAATTCCTTAGGCCCCATGACAACCCGGTAGCCGTTTGCTCCCTCGGATGAATTTCTGGTTGTGGACTCATCAGGGAGGCCAGCCAGGGCCTGCTTTTATTATATCTCTGCTTATGGGACACAAAATTGGGTTACGATAGGATTGACAGTTGGTTGTGACTAGTCCCCTGTGATTTACACCTCAGACAGGATGCCAGAGCTAAGTGCGCTCTGGGCATCGGTGACATCTTGTGAAAATTGGTTTCACAAGATTTTGTCATTCAGTATGAATTGTAAAAAGAAATGAAAATTTCTAAAAACGTTCCCTAAGGTAATGTTTCTTACACACATGGGTGTAAGAAAGAGTAAGTTTGTTTACTGAGTTTAGCAATTAAAGTTATCAATATTTAAGTTCCAAATTCCTTTAAAGAACATGGAGGATCCATATTCCCCCTTGGTGTGGGGAGGCATACACCGCCCCTCCGACTTTGCCGAATGAGAAGCGCTTCTTTAGCTCTCAAGTCAGTAGGAACACTGAGATGATGTGTAGCGATTAGTTTAGAAAATATTAATTTAGAAACTTTCTGCCTTGGATGTAAATGGTAGTAAATTGTTGAAAACCAAGTTTTCCAGACTTTCCTTAAAACTTGCAGTCTTTGTTTATGAATCTTGTATAAGTTTTCAAAATTAGAGCTTTAGCCTTAAAAGTAACTTTTCAAGTATCTAAGATGATAGACACAGACTGAAGGAAATACACACAAACAGGCGGATGCAAGCTTCTCCATTCAGACCTTCGTCCATCCGCATGAACTGAGTCACTGGTCGCAGATTAGAGGAAGGCTCCAGCAGTCTGACCATCCACTGCATCATCTGCACCACGGATGGACCTGAAGCTATCTTGGAATCTATAGAGGTGACTATTGAAAAAACCAGAAACACGGGGATTAGGGATTGGCATCGTTGTGGGTCTGCAGCTGCACATGCTCATGGGCTTAAGCAGGACGGTTTCATGCTGGCTTCCTAAAGCACTCGGTCAACTATGACATCATTTCCACACTGTTATCCTCCATGCGTGCGTGTAAGAGGCCAGACTATATAGCCTCGGACTCCTTATGTCTTCAGTGGTTAGTAGAATACATAGGTAAACAAGCAATTCAAAAGGAAAGTTTATTTGCATCGTTATTCTGAAAAGGCTTTCACTCTGTGTTGAATTCTCAATCTTTGTGTAAGCTATTGTTTGGTTTTACCACTTCTGATATGTAAAAATGTTCATTTGGTTTTACTTAATTTTGTACAGTTGCATGAGGTGTTTATGCTTTTCCTTGTGAGGTACAAAAATCCGGTCAGTTCATTGTAGAGGAACTTAGTTTAAAATAAAACCTGAAGGAGCTCAGTAGAATAAGCACTTGCCTGGCAAGTGCAAGGTCCTGAGTTCAATCCCCAGTACCACAAAAATAAATAAATAAATAAATAAATAAATAAATAAATAAATAACTGAAACATTGTGTATTATAAGTACATATTCTGTTTCCTAAAATACAGGATTTATAATTTAGTCATCTTAGCATTTATACATTAATAATTTGTAAAGACACTGCCTTCTTGGAAAAGTAGCAGTAAATCCAATAAGTAGTATCTAATAAGTAGCAGTGAATGGACAAGTATTTGGTGGGCTAAGATTGAGAAGAAGCCCGTCCCCTTATTAATTTGGCTCATTATGAAAATGTCACAAAGGAGCTGGTTTACATATAGATCCTAAAACTTACGTCAGGCAGAGAAAGTTTTGGTCACGCAGTCACAAATCTCTTTTCTCGAGTATGTGAGCTGCTGTGGGGAAGGTGAAGGAAAGGGAGACTGTGTAAAGAGGTGGAGGGTCGACCCAAATATGTGCACAGTCGGGCATCTCATCTGACAACACACCACTCGCTGTGAGCCTTCGATCCTCATGACATGTTGGGAAAATATCAGAGATATCAAACATGATCTCTCAAGCGAT